GATTAAACTCGCACGAGAACATGCTAATTCGTCAACAATCAATGATTACTGGCATCACTTCTGCTTAGAAGTCGCCAACAATTTTAGGGAATTTCCATCGACTGAGCTAAAGAAATCGTACAACCTGCAAAAGCAATAGAGTGCAAAGAATTTTCAAATATGGAAAAAGGAGAAACCAAAGAATGAGCCGAGAAGGACGATCGTGAAATAACAAATTAAGAACTAGATGATCTTATAACAGCAGCCAGATGAAAGAAGATAAAGAGCCTTACAAGAAGTTAAATGAATTTTAAAAAAGTAACAGGCTGATTTTTTGAATAGAGATTGACCCAAATAAAGAAAAAAAGAGATTACTTTTTTTCTTTATTTGGGTCAGAGTAGAGAGTAGTCATTAGGTTATTTCGAAGCATGAAATATCAAAAATGTGCAATGCCTTCGTCGGCTCTCGAATCTGGACTTCTCGAATGCGCACCCAGTGTTCTACCGTTACTCCACGAAGGCATGCTGGAAGTACTATGATATTACTTTTTTAGTCTCTTTTTGTCAGCGTCTCATTTGCCCCATAATGGGTATATCACGCGTGTTTAACCTTTTTTTTTATTTTGCCGCTAATGGGTAAATTACATGAGAAGCTTGCTGGAATACTCCTTATATATTCCCACTTTTAAAGGACGACTGGGTATTAGGGTACCCAGTCGCCAAATCCTGCTGTTGACGAATTATCGTCAACCACCTTTTAGTTCGTGCAAGAGGTCATTAGGTTGTCATGATGTGAAAAATGTGCAATGCCCTCGCCGGGATTCGAACCTGAAACCTTAGAATACTGTTGTTCCGGAAAGCCGAATGCGCTACCATTACATCCCTAAGGCATGTTGAAAGGAAGGAGAGAGAGAGAGAGAAAATATCTTAAACTTCATGAGAGATATTAAAAATCTTCGCACTTCTTACTGCGAAATGCTTAATGAGATGCGTTAGACATTTTTTTTTAATGGTGGGCTGTAGCCGTTTATAAAGGAACGTCTCAATTCTAACCGAAATCCTCTCGGGTTGTCGTAGGAATTCGCGAAAACTTCTTGGTAAATTTGTGTAGCAAACTTTTACTACCGCCATTTTAGTTTTTTTACATGATTGTATGCCATTCGTCGCTATTTTAGTTTCTTGCATAGTAGTCTAGCATTGAGTACAAAGGTACTTCCATTACGAAAACCTACTGACGCGGAAAAGCAATTGATAAATGAATGGTCTCCAGTCTTCGACTGTGAAGCTGTCAATATTCATTCGGATTTTGATCGTTCATATGCAGGTGATTTATAAATAGTGATATTTAATGTTTAAAAATTATTCACATAAGAGCAAATATAATGATTGGATTTTAAAATTGGACCTGTTATTAAGTCCTAGTGGCACTTGTTTCCGAGATTGTCTGTTTTTAAATAGCTTTCAGGAAATAAGTGCTTTTAGGACATTTACAGAAAAATTTTTTTAATGAAAATTATAAAACATTGACAAGTTTTCTGTCCAAGTTAATGTATGGAAATTAAAAATTTTCTTATATTTATGCAATTATTTTATAATTTTAATCTTACTCATATTTCAGCTTGCTCAACGTTGTGCATGTATTTTAGCAATTATTATTGATGACAATTTTCCATGGATGTTAAGTTTTGCTTTCAGCTGTATTACCATATAAAGATCTTTTCCACTTTACGAGTCATCGATTTTTAATCTCAAGCAAAGTATTGCGCTTTGAACTAGAAATACATTTTAGGGACTTATTCTTTAATCACCTGCCATTTAATGAAAAAAACTTCGCTAAAGAATTTGAAAGTTTACAATTTTGGGATTCCATATACCGTGTATAAGTCGACAATCTTAAGGAAAAAAAATCAAACTTTGAAGAAAGGGTTCGACTTACACGTGGTAGACCTTTATCATTAAATATATTATTCATATACTTTTATTTATTCTTTATCTCTTAGTTGTTAGCCCAGAAGGGCTATTAATTTCGTTTTGCCATTTTGCGTCGAAAACTTTTGAAAAATGTCGTTTCACTTTTCAGATTGTTGCCACCCTATATTATCACCCTGTGTTATATTTAAAGAAATTAAATATTGAAGAATCTGCATAAATATATGTATGTTTCTCGCATTGTGATAAAACAAAGGTACCCAGAGCCATCCAATTTTGAATAACTTAATCTTTCACCCAATAAGGGGCACCTTTAAACCCTAATTTGGAATCTGAAATTTGTTTTATTATGGATTTCATATTTTGTAACACTTCAATAATTTTTTGATTAACAAACTCAAAGATTTCAAAGCGAGCCATAGCAACGTTGTAAAGGGAAAAAAAAAAAAAAAAAAAAAAAAAAAAAAAAAAAAAAAAAAAATTTTTATCTCCGGCGCTCGAGACTGTATTGGAAATTCTAAAGATACGCTCATTTAAAAATTATTTTGCGATATTGCTGTTGAACTGAATTTTATAATTGAAGTGCGAAGAAATCGGATATGATCGCGCCAGTGACGTCGCTTTCAATTCACACTCCAGAAGACTGTGGTTCGAACCCATCGGGGTGCATCCTTGTACCGATTGTCTTTACAAACAGAGTAGACAAAATACAGATCGTGCACAATCGTGTCGCTAAACGCATCAACTAAATGCGGCCTGAGCTTGGTGGGCGAATTGGTGTGCGAAATGGTGTATGAAACGTCACACTTTCACCTGAGACAGCTATAAAAGTGATATCTCCTCGTGGTTGTATGTTGAAGCTCATGGTCATGGAGCGATTTTCAAAAAATGATTATTGTGAGATGGTTCTACTTACGGCGAATGTGAGCGCAAGGCACGATCGGCAGCTCGGTTGCATCGGCAACGTTTTCCTGCAGGACCGCGTCCTTCATAGAAAACCACCCTACAGGTTGTGAAACGTTTAAGGGGGATAGGCTGCGTGACCAGCCGACTTCGGTTTGCGAAATAGGGAAGCTAACTCTGCTGTTTTCCACCAAGTGGTATTAAAAGCTATACCATCTAGTAGCGCAAAGCCACTTTACCTCGACATTCCTTTTATGATTATAGATGCAGCCGTTCGGCAATTAAACGGGTGGTACCGAACTTTCGTGGGCACCCTGTATATATATATATATATATATATATATATATATATAAGAAAAATAAAGAATATTTAAAGATTAAATTTGCAACGTAAATTTCCCTTCTCTATTCTGAAAATAGTAACCCCTCTCTGCATTGCGTCATTTCGAGACTATTCTATGTCATACGACTCTTACGTAATTATGGCGATGTAGATTGATCTAAAACTCAAGCAGCCACTAGTAATTTTAGAGCAATATTAACTTGTCCAATCACAATGTATTGAGAGCCAAAACTAACTCAGTTTGACTTCAGATTTCAACCTGAACACGACGCACTTTCTTTCCACGCTTTGGCCTAGCTACACTGCTGTCCGTCTGCTCTGCTTTCTTGCTACAAAATTATCAAAAATATAAGCCTTTTGGAAGAGGCACATTTAATGTGCCGACTTGTGTGTAGCCGCAACACGTTGCCGAAAATAAAACTGAAGATTTAATCTTTCTTCGCTTCCAATTTCCTAGTCATTATGGATCAACACGTCTACGCCATTCAGTTACTGTTTTTATGGCGTAGACGTGTAGATTACTATTACATTCAACATATATATACATGTTGAATGTAATAGTAATAGTTTATGTTACCGATGAGGCTTATGGGCAATAGACTATTAATTATCAAATGTTTGCGCAGTCTGAAACTGTACGGGATTTGGAGCTACTTAAGAGGAAGGCGTACTTTTCCTAAATCCCGCGTACTTTTAAGTGTGACTTGCGTTTATGTAACCATCTCCTGAGTAACAGAAAGAGATCGCTGCGAAATATTTCAGTAGCACAACTACTCTTAAGTTGATGAATAGTTGAAGTTAAGTGATGAATAGATGAACTCTTAAGTTGATGAATAGAATGACTCTTAATTTTATGAATTATCTTTTCGTTTGTTTACCTTTTAGTCAATATCTGGGATGCCATATGAAGAGAATAGGTGTTCGTTTGCAAACCAAACACTTGTTTTGTTGTGGAATTTGAACTTTTTATAATAGTTATTTTATGGTAATAAATGATAAAATAGGCTAGTACCTATATCCATTTGGATGTTCTCAAAGCATATCTAACTATTCTGAGCTTCTCTGACATGTGTAGACCACGCAAATGATCTGTCTTTCATTCCCTCCAAGTTTCTCTAAATCTTTAAGGTCCATATCACACACGCATTTATATCACACGAACAACTGTTTCGAACAATTTTTTCTTCCTAGTTTAGTATTGAAAGAAAGACGCATGACTTTTTCCTTCCTTTTGAAAAAAATTGCAAGTTGTTCGTTTTCAACCAATCAGCTATGATCTTCGAATGCTAATATCAACTTGTTTGTAATGGAGAATCAGTTTTCTCTGTGTTAACCCAAAAACGATCTGTGGTGATTGGCTGTTGTGACAAAGCAGAAAAATTGTTCCGAACAGTTGCTCTTCCGAAACAAACAGATGTGTGATAGCAGCCTAAAATAAGCATTGAAAACATTCCGTGTATTCGATTTCAGAGGCCAATTGCATTTCGAAGAAATGTTTCATTTCCCTGTCTTAATGAGTACCAATAACTACTTCCAAGATACTTCCCAAATAACTTTTCTGAAAGGATAGTAATCATTAGTTGAGCAAAATACGCATAACAATATTCAAAAAGTGGAAAAGTCAGATTCTAATTACGTCATATAATGGCAAGTCAATGGATTCAATTAATGAAACTTCTTCCTACTTTTACTATTATGGTATAAATGCCAGTTGGTTTTGACATTATCCTAGTCACTTAGAATTCTAAATGAAGAATATCAGGAGCCGAAGATTCATTTTACTGAAAATTTCTGTTCATTTATACAACAAAATAATGTTTCGGTAATAATTTAAAAAAATAATTGTATTTCGAGAGTTACTTTGTGAAACTTAATCGCCCAGTTAGTAAGATATATGATTGTTAACCTTAAATCTTAATATTTTTCACAGTGACAACCCTACTGCAGTTATGTTTTTATTTAATTTTCAACTGCATTCAAAAATCTAAAATGAATGTGGTATTTAAGGATTTGTAATACAGCTAAAGACAGAGAAAGACTGTAAAATAACATTATTTTCTTCGTGATTATTCTGTAAGAGTCTTGAAAATTTCTGAAGTTTCACTAATTTTATCGATCACGTTCAACATCTCCCAAATTCTGTCTTCTATCACAGGGTGCGTTGGTTGAACGAGGTGCCTCTTTTTCCTGCGACCTGATGCTGCGGCAAGCTGAGCGGCTGTCGTAGTAGCTCCATTATTCTGCATTATTAGAAAAAGTGTAGACAGTAGATTAGCGTTTAAAGGAATTATAATGGCAAATAGCAGTAGTGGTAGCACAGCAGTAACAGCAGTGGAATTAAGTTATCATCTTTTTCATGGTGCGAAGGCACATGTATAGGAAAGATGAAACCTTCATGTTCATGAATGTATTTGCGATCACTCATGAAATCATGGAGTTTGGAGTCAAGCCCTAAATAGTCATCGATACTATCCGAGTATTTTCGATACTTCCGATTTTTATTATTGTTATTATATATTTCTTTCTTGGATGACCATACAGGCCATGAAACTCCTTGATCAAGCTTGCGCACATTTTCATTACGTTTTGTGTAATTTACAGAAGGTTTTATAATCCAGTAGCCTTCTGATTTCGCTGAAGATTTAGAAGGTATAAAATCATGAAAAGTATCGTGATCAAACCTTCTTATGACAGACTTTTGTGCACGTCGATCTACGGAGTCATTTGTTTCATTCAAAATCTTTTCTGATACATGAAATGGTAACTGTCGAACATCATAGGTAGAAATTCTAGGCGTAAAATCTTCTCTTCGCATGACCTTTCTTTCAGACTTAGATTTTACTGTTCCATTTACGGGAAAAGAATTTCCTTCGCTGTGGCACACAGCTAATCTGCAAATAATCAATACTAAATAGAAAATCGATGCCAGCTCACAATTTTCCATGCCGCCCCTGGAAAAAAAATAATAAGAGAATATTAAACAAATTAGCAGCAAATAAATGTAATATTGTACAGAAAAGAGTTTCAAAATGAGATAAATTTTAGAAGTAGAATAAAAACTCTCACTGTGTTTTCACTATTGTAAGCGAAACACGACTGTGTTTTGACTGTTGTGTTTCACTTACAACAGTGTTTGCACAAAATATCGAGTTTGTTTTAACTCATAATGCGCATTTACATATTGGATATATAAGAAATAATAGAAGATCATACAGAAACTGAACGCTTAGTGCTTCCTTCTTCATATAAATACACAATCTTGTGTATTTCCAGCAGATGATAATCTTTATTGTGTACAGCAGATGATAATCTTTATTGTGTACAGCAGATGATAATCTTTATTCAAGCATAATTCACATAATGAAGTAATATAAACGTTGAGAAGGGTTTTCGATAATTTCAGATTAACGTTTCGCATTTTTGCAGTATTCAACAAATGGAGCGAAGAGCAGGGCGTAGGGTAGCAGTCACGTTTCTTAGGATACTGTGATAATATCGTCCGGAATGACTGTATAAGAGTTTGAAGTGAACGCCACAGCGGATTACACAACTAGGAACTGGTAAATAATTGACTTTTTTTTCACAGTTGAAAGTTCATCATGCACATTTAAGTTTCACTTTTCTGATAATATAAGTGGAAAGCGGCGCTAGGGTCCATCGTAAATGTTATTCGTCATGATGAGTATTGTCATCTTTCTTATTTTGTTGACCCTGTATAAGTATTAAATCAAGATAATAAAATATGCAAAAATATACTCGCTATCTCTTGAATATGTGCAATTGTTTTACAATAACAGCTTTGTTAATTACGTTCTAAGGGTGTTTTAATGGATATTTTGTTTTATTTCTAATTTCATTGTCTTCGGGTTAGACAATTATACATTGCCCTCCGAAAGCTAAGAAACATCATGTTTTTCAAAGCTACCATTACAAAAATGTCAGTAACGTTTAAATTCACAGTTCATATGCATGACAGTAACGAAATTTAAGAAAATATATGCAAAAATAATAGCTACTACTTTTATTTTATAGAACTGAATACTTATATAGGAGTTGGGGGGAATGCAAAAATTGTAATTTTTTTCACGAGTGCTGATCTTCAGCTGTTATTACAGCTTCGTGGACAATATCCAGGGGAGTCTATCAATGTTCAGGAGAAGTCGCTTTGCCCGATTCGTTGAGGTGGTGGGTGATCGGATGGATGGAAATGGAGATGTCACAAGCTCATGCTGCTAGACGTCTCAATGTCTCTCGTAGTGTGGTCCACCGACTGTGGAATCATTTTGAATTCGAGTATTCTGCGTCTAGAAGACATATTCCAGGCAGACCTGGAGTTACAACACCTGCGAAAGACCGTTATTTAGCCCTTTTGGCCCGAAGGAGGAGTGACATTACTCTGCCTCAACTCATGGCAGATCCTTTAGTGGAAACAAGAACAAAAATCTCAGCTACTACAGTGTGCAGGCGCCTGCGCAATATAAATCTGTGTGCAAGACGACCAGTTGGTAATGTCTCCTTGACCCGAGAACAAAGAGGTTCATGTTTATGTTGGGCAAGAGAACACGTCTCCTCGACCAGCTGACAACGGGCGTCTTTTCTCTTCACAGACGAGTCTAGGTTGGAGAGTGGTTCAGGTCGTCAGCTTATCTGGGAGGAACAACGCACCAGATACAACCAATCCTAACTTGTGCAAAGACACAGTTACAGAGGTGGTGGAATAATAGTTTGGGCTGGGATCTTTTTCGGTGGTCACACTGACCTGCATGTGTTCCATGGAGGAAGTTTGACCGGTGTGAGATATTGAGATGAGATCCTCGATCAATATGTCCGCCCATATGCAACTGCTATTGGTCGTGGGTTTCTTCTGATGGACGACAATGCGCGACCACACCGAGATCGGGTTACTGAAGAATATCTTGAGGGTCACGGTATGGAGCGGATGGAATAGCCAGATCAATCCTCAGACCTGAATCCGACAGAGCATCTTTGGGACTACCTTGGGAGACACGTTGCTGCTTTAGGTCCTCCTCCAAGGTCATTAGATGAGCCTGAACAAGGATTACTCCATGGCTGATCGTTGCTTCCCATTGCACTGACCGACAGCTTAATTGAGAGCATGGAACGTCGCTGCCACCAATATATTGCAGCTAGGGGTGTATACATTCCTTATTAGAACCCATTTTTGTAATGTTACCATCACATTTTAAATCTAAAAACTGGGATGTAGACTAGATTTCTCTGCTAATTGTGAAATTTTTTTGCTGTAATTCATGTTTGTGTTGAACTTTAGAAATATTCTAGGTCACATTCATTAAAGAACTGTTTAGTGAGAATGTCCTGTAAATTTCCTGTTTTTATGTTGCTTCACTCTTAAATTAGACACAAAAAAACTTGCTGTTCCTTAACTTTTGGAGGGCAGTGTATATCAACATTTTGAATTATTCAGTATTTATCATTGCTTAACTGTTAACTCTATTTTACTGCTGAGATAAAACTCCTGAACAGGATGCTTGCAAATGGAATGTATTGCATTGTTTTCTGGAAGCTAGTTAGTGTTTTGCAGAACGTCGTGTACTTTGTGAGTCACTTATGTCTTTATAAAAATTTTAAATAAAAAGAAGTCCGGTTGTTTAAATTGTTATGTTTTCTTATTTACTACCAACCACCAGCTACGTGTTCCCACGTGATTCTCCAAGTATCCACAAAGTGATCACGTGGCTTTGGCCCAGATGTGGCAGAGTAGTTTTGCTGAACTCTGGTCTTTTGTTCCAGGTTCGAAGCTCGGCGTACGGGATGATTGCAGAGGTGTTTTCGTGGTTTTCCCATGTGAATGAGAACACGAATCAGTTTCTCTTAGAATGTACTCCACGAAGGCATCCCTGTCCTTAGGCAGATAGTCATCATGCGCTTTGCCGCATTCAAATAACCAAACTAGCCAGCCTTAAGTGGGATGTTTTTTCTGAACCGTTGGTCATTAACGTGTACGTCCAGCTACAAAAGAGTTTTAAGTGACCCTAATATTTATGTTTCAAAATTTTTAAGTGAAAAAAATTACAAAGAAAAAAAAAATTTCGTAAGAAATTACAATATAAATCTTTTATACGTTTCCTCGGCTCCTATACTTATATTTAAGAAACTTTTATACTCATAAAAAATAAAATGCAGAAAGGGGGACTCCTGTATGACAAAAATTAACTTAGATTTAATTTTGTACACAAAATGAAGGGAGAAATGTTTGCATTTGAGCGCCATTAAAAATAACATTTCAGTTTAGAAAAAGATAGCTGTTGTTAATGCATTCAGTGACGAACATTTCTCTGAGAATTAACGTGATAAGTATTCACTAACATACCTTTCCCCCTTCCCCCACAAAGGAGCTCTCATTCACAGAATCTTTCAGAATCCGTGTTATAGAAAATATTGACAGGCTATGCCTATAGTATTGGTACATAGACAGCTCGTAGCATTACTTACAGAAATTTAAAATTTAAAATATTTCTAGTTTAATGAATTTTTTGGTATGATTATTAGGTTAAAATTCTAAAAAAGAAATAAAATTAAATTGTAAGTAACGTAATTTTGACTTTTGAAAACTGATAAATTACTTACGTAAAATTTTTTTCTGTTTACCAATCGTAACAAAACTGCAAATTAAAGGCTAATACACACTAGTAGATCACAAAAGAATATCTTTGAAGGACATTTAAGGTAAAAAAAAATCACCCCGGAATTTTTCTGGTTTGGTTTATTTGATTTGTGATGTGTTTGTTTGTGGCTTATCCCACCCGATCGACAGTAACATCGGATTCAAGTATGTGACATCAGAGCAAACCCACGAAGTTCATCGCGTCAAGGGGTGAAGACAGTGCCTGTCGTTGCCAAGAACTTTAAGCACCATATATGTGACAGTAAGATTTGCTCAGTTCCGGCCTCAGTTTTGATAGAGAGCATCCCGTGGGGACGGGTCGGAAGGTCTCCCACTCCTCTCTACCTACCATAACCTCTCGAGAGAACTTCCGGCTGCCCACATATTGAGAGTGCCCCCATGCCGCACACAGACACTATACATTTACATGCTCCATGTGCGGCCGAGCGGTAAAGTCGATGAACACTTGTAGTTCGGTCCGAGGTTCAAATCCTGCGAACGGGCTGGCTGCAAGGGCGTTTTCGTGGTTTTCCCCATGTGTAACATGTATACAGGCCAGTTTCCCTTAGAAAGTCCTCCACGAAGGCATCCCTCCCCTTAAGTAGATAGCCCTCGAAGCTTTGCCATAATCTCACACACATGACATGTTCCATGCCTTCTCCGGGATTTCAACCCGAGTCCTTCGGTACGGGAGTCAGCGTAGCTAACCACTATCCCGCTTGTTCGGTCTTTATTTGATTTGATTATGGCAAAGCACGCTAAGGTTGCCTGCCTAAGAGAAGGAATGTTTTCGTGGAGGGCTCCAGTGGAACTGGCTCTTAGTCAAAGCAACGAAACAATGAAAACGTCCATGCAGGTAGCCGTTCGCCTGGAATTGAACCCAGGTCGAAGTACCAGTGTTCAACGACTTTACCATTCAGTCCCTGAATGGTATGCTGTAAGCATAGATGTTGCTAGCTTCTAAAATCAGTATTGCAAGAAAGAAGTTTAAGAAATGGAGAGATACTTAAATCTATTTCATTAGGAGATCTATTGTAATAGTATAAATAACAAAATATGAACTTCATATGAAACAGCTGATATCAAATGCTTATGATCAAAACATCTATTAATAAATAATTGATTTGACTTCCCAATACCTTATTTTATTTGTTTATTTTTTAAGCTCAATTATTTTATGAGCACCATTATAATGTTAGGTAACTTTTTAACTGATTTCAATAACAGATAATTAACTGCATTAATTAACTTTTTTATTAAAAACTACCCTGCACGGTGTATAAAATTCTTAAAATTTCACTTTTC